TACCATTTCCATCTAGTAATGGACCAGTACCATTGTCAAGATTATTTTTGTTCTTAATATATTTAAAAAATCCTTCTTATTGTCCTTAACTCTCCTGGCCATGGATTCCTGTGTCCCTTTGTTTCCCGTATCATTTTTTTTTCTTTTACAATTTCTAGATTCTGATTTATATTCATTACTATCAAGTTGTCCTTTCTTCCATTTGTTAATATTTAAAAAAAAAATGTATAGCTGCCTTCACTTTCCCTCTATACCAGGTCAGTTTTTTTTAACCAGCAAGGTCTTCTTCCTCGGTTATGGTATTGTGGCTTTTTGGGCATCTTGTAAGGTGTTCTTAAATGACTTCCAATTATCATTCACATTTTTCTGATGAAATTCTTCCTCCTAGCAGATTTGGCTCAAAATTGTTTTCAGCTTTATGAAATTGCCTTATTAAAACACTAAGTGTCAGGGCTTTATTGGGCTTGCACATTATGAATATGTTCAAAACTTGATTACTTGTTCTTAACTACCATTTATTTTTAGTTCTGTGATCAGTTCCTCTTTATCTGTTAGGAACAAGGTCTAATAAGGAATTCCATCTTGTTGCTACACTTTTTGAGTTAGGATAGTATCATCTGTAATGTTTAGAAATTCCCAGGATGTTTTAGTTCTGGCAGTGTGAGACCTCTAGCAAGTGTCACTCAAATTGAAGTCCCCCATGATTACACAGTTTTTTGTTTTAAATATTACAGATAGATGCGTAAGGAGGTGGTCATCCTATTCCCTAGTGTGATTTGGTGGTCTGTCGTAGACACCAACTAATACCGCATTTTGTGCTTTATATCTGTTGGGCTATTGAACCATACCAGGTCAGACCAGTGGCCCATCTAGCTCAGTATCCTGTGTTCTGACAGTGGTCAATGCCAGATGTGGAGAAAGTGAATAAGGAAGTGTTGCTTACAGCTTCACTTAAGACAAGAACCAAGGATCACCCAATGAAATTCATAGGCAGTTTTAAAACAAACAAAAGGAAGTACTTCATACAACACACAGTCAACCTGTGGAATTCATTCCCAGGGGATGCAGTGAAAGCCAAAAGTATAACTGGGTTCAAAAAAGAATTAGATAACTTAATGGAGGATAGGTCCATCAATGGCTATTAGCCAAGATGGTCAGGGATGCAACCCCGTCCTCTGGGTGTCCCTAAACTTCTGACTGGCAGAAGCTGAGACTGGATGAGAGGGGCTGGATCCACTTGATAATTACCCTGTTATGTTCATTCCCTTTGAAGCATCTGGCATTGGCCACTGTCAGAAGACATGGTCATTCTTATTATTTTGAGTTATCAGTGACTCGGAAACAGGTAAAGCAATTTTTTTACATAAAGTGCCACTGGCCTTACCCTTTTGCCTACTTGATCCTTCCTAAATAGGTTATAACCATTGATTTTAATGTCCAATTGTGTGAATCATCCCACCAGGCTTCAGTAATACCAACTAGATCAAATTTATACTTCTGTAGTGTTGAACCCTTCTTTATTCTTTCAGAGAGAACCAGATGGCAAATGGTTTTCTTATCCCATGGGATGTATAGAGTTTAAAAAAAATTCTTATCCTGAATTTGGATGAAAGGTCAATCTCAATTTTTCATGATTTTTTTTTTAAAATGGGTTCATCAAAACATTTCATTTGGATTTTGACTCTTTTTTAAACATTTTTCTAATGTAAATTAACTCAAAATTTTGAAACAAAAGTAATTTTAGACTTCTCAAAATGACCTCTTTTGTTTAGAAATCAAAATGGGAAATTTATAGAAACTAACTCTTTTCCATGAACAGTTTTGGTTTTGATGACCTAACACTTTCTGATTGGAAAAAAATAAAATAAAAAAAATCCTACTAGCTCTGCTTTGCAGACCTTCATAACATGTCCCTTAATGAAGAGGGATTCAAAATCCTGCCTGGTTTTGTTAGGATGTTCTTTTTCTCAACTAGCCAAACTTTTATTTTTTATTCTTTTTATGCGGATGCAGCCTTAAATTTTGGGTTGCATTTGGCTTGTAGGCACCAGATCCCCTCTTTATTAAATTACAAAATGAAACAAACAAAACCCAAAACAAAATAACAGTAACAAAAAAATACTGATTATATAGCTTTGACCTCTATCTTCCTTGCTTTCTAATGTAGTATGCATTACTGATCTTTTTTTTAAATGGACATGTTCCTTGAATTGCTTACCATCATCACAGGATTTTCACTCTTTTAAGGGAAAACTAGTCACCTTGTTGTTCTGTATATTTGAAGGTATATGACACAGGATTTTCTTACTTCCTCTCAGGGTCTGGAGGTTTAATTTTTGAGTATGGAGTACAGAGCAACAGAGAAAAGAAATCTGGCTTGCAGCAAAAAGGAAGAAAAGAAAATTTTACATGTTGCAATGCTTGTTTTGGTGGAATCATATGGTCAAAATAGCAATTAATAATTTTAAATGCCCACTGCATTAAGACACATGAAAATGTATGTTTTAAATCAATTATAATGTGCTTGTGGCCTCATGCCTTTAGCCACCTGACTCCTGTATTAATCAGTCAATAAACACACATTGTCTTAAAGTTTGTTATACTTAGTACATACAGATGTCAAAGAGGACTGAACAGTTATATAGTAAAATTACATTGAAATGTCCAACCAGGAAAGAAGGAAATATGAAATCTAGCTTTCAGACACAAAAATAAAATCTTTGTTGATTTGCATCTATATATATATTGTGACAAAGTTCCTCCTCTATCTTGGTGGGTCCTGCGCTTATTGGCGGATTTTCTTGCCTCAGAGATTCACCATGTGGGTTGCGGGAACAGCCCAGAGACCTTCCCCTCTGGGAGAACCCACAGTCCAGGTCAATTGAGAGGTTTGGGGGGAACCCGGGCCTGCCCTCTACTCCGGGTTCCAGCCCAGGGCCCTGTAGACTGCAGCTGTCTATAGTGCCTCCTGTACCAGCTGCATGACAGCTACAACTCCCTGGGCTACTTCCCCATGGCCTCCTCCAAACACCTTCCTATTCTCACCACAGGACCTTCCTCCTGGTGTCTGATAACGCTTGTGCTCCTCAGTCCTCCAGCAGCACACCCTCTCCCTCTCCCTCTCCCTCTCAGCTCCTTGCGCCTCTTGCTCCCAACTCCTCACACCCCCACCACAAACTGAAGTGAGCTCCTTTTTAAAACCCAGGTGCCCTGATTAGCCTGCCTTAATTGATTCTAGAAGCTTCTTAATTGGCTCCAGGTGTCCTAATTAGCCCGCCTGCCTTAACTGGTTCTAACAGGTTCCTGATTACTCTAGTGCAGCCCCTGCTCTGGTCACTCAGGGAACAGAAAACTACTCATCCAGTGACCAGTATATTTGCCCTCTACCAGACTCCTGTACCCCACTGGTCTGGGTCTGTCACAATATATATGAATGAATGGTCAAGATGCTCAGTAATGCTTTCTAATCTGAGCGGAGAGGCCCCTGAGAGTGGTGAATGTTATAAAGGCAAGATTTTCAAAGCACTCCCCTCTTCTGATGGTGCTTGTTTGACATAAAGGAGATGATGGTTTTGGTATTAGTGTACTGCCCATCACCACCTCTGCCAACAAATTCATATAGATGTGAATAATATGGTGGACGGTATTCTCAATTGGTTTGCTTTGAAAATGGATTTTTAGCTGTTTTTTAATGCAGTTTAACAGCTGGAAATATGAGTCAGTGCCATGTGACCAGCCAGATTTCTGTTCAAATGCTTTTATTGGGGGGTCCTTATTAGTGACACTATGTTGCTATGCTGTAGTCAGTAGAGAAATTTTTCAAAAGCATGAGTCTTTGTATGCTTGGCATATGTGAAAGGACAGCGATGATCCACTTTGCTACCCGGTATGAAAACTGATTTTCAAAAGGAATTTGTCCATCCACTTGTAGATTACTGAAGTCATATGGATCCCATTTAGGCTTGTGCCTATTTAGAAGGCAACAGAACATTTCATCTTTCTGATTTGTGTGTCCGTCTCACTTTTCTATTCAGGCCAAAGATAGTATTATATGAGCTCTGTATATGGCTTTGATTACTGATCTGAGAGACAGGATTCTTGGTTCTGTTACTGATGTGCTGTCATCTTGTGTGAATCAGTTAAATTGTCTGTCTGTCTACCTGAGTTTACCAACCTGTAATGTCTCTAATAACTACTTCACAGGGAAACTGACTTTTAGTACAGCAGAGCCCTGTTTAGCTGATCTAATTGGGACCGGAGCCAGATTGGATAATCAAAAATTCAGGTAATCTGAAGAATGGGAAAGTGCGAGGCTGCAGCACCATCTAGAGACCACAGGAGATTACCCACTTCTGAACCTTTGTGTGCTGGTTCCTTGATTAATAAGGAGAGCCAAATAATGGAGGATTCAGTAAATAGGGTTCTACTGTATTTTGAGATTTTTCAATGATTGGTGTTATATAATTGTAAAATGGCATAGCTGCTGGTTAATACTTCCAGCTGGTGGTGAATGAACAGAGGTAAATCTTAGCATACCCTTACAAACAGTCAAGAAGTAGGAAATAGATGCTTTTGTGGGTTACGGTTATTTCTCTTCTAAAAATATTTTTCTCTCTCCTCTAAAATATAGATAACTTACTATGGGTAAATTGATTTTTAATGCTGTATCTTAATAGGTTTTTTGCAGGGTGGAGGAAAATGAAATTGTGTTAAGGTTTCAATTACTATTTATTAACTTGATATTTTTACCCTTTCAGTTAGGTCTAGGAATATGAATTAATGTTTTTCCTCTTGTCTGTATCTTGATTTTTACCCTAAATATTTTTAGGTTTTACTCTGTGTATCCTACTCTTGGTCTAATAGGTTTTTGAGGGCTAACCTTGAACTCCAAGATTGTTCAGTATTGATTTGATGACATTATACATTGGTAAATACTAAAATAAAATGAAATACTATTGAATTACGTTTAACATGAAATAGTCACTTTTGTGTTTTAACAGCAAACACCTATCTCTTTATGGTGCAAGCTCGAGGCATAATGTTGAGAGAAAATGTGAAAACAATAGGACATCTGATCAGATTGTACACTAATAAAAATGCTACTCTGAATGGCACAGGTAAGAATATTTCCTATTTAATTATTTTAAAAAAGTTGTCTGTTTCTTCATGACAATGACATAGCTTGTTTATACATAGGTTTACAAAAACCTAGATCTAAGCACCCTTCATTTCTCCCCTCCCCCCCATACTCTCCCAACTTTGAGGAGTAATAGGGAAGGGAAGAGTGGTTACTCTTTACAAAGTCACTTGTGAAACTGAAGTTAAGTTTTCTTTAAGAAATAGGTTTATCAAGAGCTGGGGTAAATAGATCAGAATTCATGAGGATCAACTTGATAATGATTCAGAGAATGTTTTTATCTTCACTGTCAGAACTTGCAGCAAACATAAAGTTTATGCAGTGATGTCAGGATAAGATGCAAAACAGTCCCCCCCAGCATAGTGATATATTGATGAGAAGCCATTGGGAAACTTTCATTTTTACAAGAATAAACGGTTTTTTTTTTTCTTTAAGATTATCCTGAAGGCAACAATTCCAGTGACTATCTTGCTCAAACAACAATGTATCTTCCAGAAAACTTCACATATTCTCCTTACCAGGCTTGTCCAGAAAAGCTGCCTTACATGAGTAAGTTTATAATATCACCTTAATTTATATCCTTATCTATTACATCTGGTTCTGTTAAACCAGAATGCAAACTGTTAACCAGAATTTTAAAACTCTAACATATATAATAATGCTTAGCAGAATTTGGCCCAATATTCTGACTAATACCTAATGTTTTGATATACATTTTCTTCTGTGTAATGCGTTCTGGCATTTGTTCCACAATTAAGACAGTATTCAACACCTACAGTTAGAGTGCATCTTTTGTTATATACCGCTTTCTTGAATTAGAGGCTTTGGGGAATTGTTACCTAGAATTTTTGGAGGTGAGAGTATTCTTGGTGGAAAATTGAATGAGACAAAAACAAGTTGCCTACATTTTCATCAGTTAATCAGAATTGCACCAATACTTGAGAAGCTGCATAAGATAGCAAAGTGAGTGCTTCAGAAGGTAAAAAAGTCTTAAATCCTGTTATAACTGAGCAGGCAACGGTTTCATAAAATGTGAAAAAAACATGAAAATAATTCATATGAAAAGTTGAGAAGATTAAGGTTTCAAAGTGAAGTACTTAAAAATTAAAAAGCAACAAAAGTTGCTCATACAACCTTATTTCTTTTCTCATGTGTATATACACTCAAAAACTCCTTTTAGCATTAGATTAAAATCTTAGCTTAAATTCTGTTGTATTTATTTAGCTGGAATAAATGGGCCAAAGGTGTTAACATAATCCAGTCACTGTCCAACATTAAATAGTGTTAAACAAGGTTCGGGGTTTGGTATACGGAGACTTCAGCCTGCTTAGTACGATGGCAAACATACCATTAAAAATCCTTTTAACCTTTATTTAAAAATAAAGAAAAAACAGTTAAAGCATTTTAAATGTAAAGTTTTAAATAAGGTTTTCATTTTAACAGCACGCTTTGTTCCCTTTCCCTTTAGCTAGAGAGAATTTTTAAAAGGAAACCTCCCCTTGTTTGACGGTCTCTGTTTTACAAAAGATTGTAATAACTGTCCCTTTGGGGGAAAAAGCAGACATTAGTTGAGATAGGCTATAGTTGTGGTTGTTAGTGTGTTGATCCCATTTCATCCCAGGTCGTGCTTGGGTTTCTGCTGGAGTGGTAGAAGTGGCAGTGTTATCTGGGTCCCTCTCGCTGGCCCAGTCTGGTGAGGACATTTCTCAGGATTATGATTAGGGCAAAGAAAGTCTCTGGTCCCAGGAGATGATGAGGGTGGCAGCCCTGGTGGTGAAGTTTGTTCCAGTAGCCTCTGTCCGGTCTTCTGAATTTCCTCCCAAAGTTTCTTTCTTTCAGGACCCACAAAGGGAATGGTGGCTGGAATAGCCCATACCCTCATTATTTTGTCCACCAAAAATGCCTGATGTCTGACACACCAATTTTGGTTAATTAATTTCTGGTTCCATGTTTTCTGTTTTTTACCAAGCATGAATTCAGTATCCTCTTTGAGTTATATCAACATGGCCTTTTAGTTTGGACTAATTTAGTCTCTTTGTCGTATACTCTTGCATTGCTGTTAACATTCATTATTGAAAGCAGCTTGACTATAACAACAAATGTTAGAAAGTTTTTTAACATTTTTATGAACTTTCATTATCTCTAGCCTCTGTTTGCCGGCTACAGGGGATGGATCACTTGATTACATGTTCATTCCCTCTGAAGCACTTGGCATTGGCCACTATTGGAAGACAGGATACTGCGCTAGATGGACCATTGATCTGACCCACTATGGTCATTCTTATGCTTTTACAATTGAATTTACAACTAGAGTAAATTTGTAGGCCCAATTATCACAACATTTCTCTAAAAACTTTGACACAGGAAAGGGCTACTGTGTTGTGACCATGATATGATTGTACACTAGTTACATATTAATTTAGAAAAATGTTTTAATTACCTCTTATGATTCAATATTATCAAAATTTTATTGTTGATTATGTACTATTTGTATCTTATGACTTCACAAATACAAAGATTGTTTTTAGATAATCTAAGCACTATACCCAGACTTACAGACACTCTTTTCTCAACTTATGTATTATATAATTTTTTTAACATTAGCGTTAATAAAAATTTTAAATCTGTAAAAACAGAAATTCCAAGCTAACTTTCAGAAATCTCTCAACTTGTCTTCGAGACTAAAAATGTATTTTTTAACCCTCCTGCTAAAAAGTCAGTCTCAAGAGCTGTGCAATAACATAATTACCCATTAGTATATTAAATTCTCTCAAATCCATATTACACGTAATGGTATCTGACAGTCTAAGATTTCTGGGTAGTTACCTATTTTTAAAAATAGATTGGATATAAAAGGACTAATCAATACAAGTAGATAGGACATATTTGGCAAGTCAATAGTTAAAAATACAGAAACTGCTTCTGACTGAAAAATGAGATGAGTTGAAAAAAAGTTATATCTATTGTTAATTGATTGAATTAATGTTTTAATTTTACCTTACTGCACCAATATTACAAATTCATCTTAATTGAAATTACTACTTTATGACTTAAGGAATTTAGCTAAATGACAAGTAGGTATGGGACTGTACTGATAAATTAATGTTAAAACTGAACTGCCTAAAAAAAATGATAAACTTTGTAAATGTACAGGGTGTATTTGATTTAAAACAAATTTAAATCATCTCTTTAAACTACTCAACGTAAATGAGACATTCTTATGCCCATCTTCATCTTTTCACCTCACTAAATCATTCTTGAAGCAGGCAGTGAAGACTACTGTGCCTGGAATCAAGTGCACTTTGACACAGTTTCAGGTTAGCTAGGTCAGTTGCCTTTCTTTACCTATCTGAAGTTAACCTGGGGACCCTGATCCTGGAAGAGATACTGTCTGGTCATATTTTGCCCCAAACTTATGCTCTTAAAATACACATAGGGATTTTGCAGATATCAGCTGGTGACCTCTAGAACCGCTGGTTGAGAACTGCTGTATTAGAGCATAACCTGAAACAGAATATCTTTCTGCAGCTCAGTGTTTTCCACAATTCCGAGACATCTGGGCTGCTCCTCTCCATGCTGCAGCTCACAAAGGCAATCCATAGTTGCTGTGCTATGTGTGCTAGCCACACCCTTCTGCTCTTGCTTGCTGCCAGTTTCTCTGCCTTCATGGCATTGGTCAGTTGGCAGTTTTAGCTGCTTCTGCTTTCTTTTGTTTTTTCCTCTTCTGTTTTTGGGCAGTAGCAGGCAGGATCTTCTACCTAACCCTTTCTCCTCCTGCCTGGGTTGAATTTCAGCATCTTGGCCCTGGTCTACACTACTTGTTTAGGTCGAATTTAGCAACGTTAGATCGATTTAACCCTGCACCCGTCCACACGACGAAGCCATTTTTGTCAACTTAAAGGGCTCTTAAAATTGATTTCTGTATTCCTCCCCGACGAGGGGATTAGCACTAAAATCGACCCTGCTGGGTCGAATTTGGGGTAGTGTGGACGCAATTCGATGGTATTGACCTCCGGGAGCTATCCCAGAGTGCTCCATAGTGACCGCTCTGGACAGCACTCTCAACTCAGATGCACTGGCCAGGTAGACAGGAAAAGCCCGGTAAACTTTTGAATTTCATTTCCTGTTTGGCCAGCATGGCGACCTCAGAGGTGACCATGCAGATCTCATCAGCATAGGTAACCATGGAATCCCAGAATCGCAAAAGAGCTCCAGCATGGACCGAACGGGAGGTACTGGATCTGATCGCTGTATGGGGAGAGGAATCTGTGCTATCAGAACTCCGTTCCAAAAGACGAAATGCCAAAACACTTGAAAAAATCTCCAAGGGCATGAAGGACAGAGGCTATAACAGGGACCCGCAGCAGTGCCGCGTGAAACTTAAGGAGCTCAGGCAAGCCTACCAAAGAACCAGAGAGGCAAACGGCTGGTCCGGGTCAGAGCCCCAGACATGCCGCTTCTATGATGAGCTGCGTGCCATTCTAGGGGGTGCCCCTACAACTACCCCAGCCCTGTGCATGGACTCCGTCAATGGATTCTCACGCAACAGGGATGCGGATTTTGGGGATGAGGAAGATGATAGCACATAGCAAGCAAGCTGAGAAACCGTTTTCCCCGAAAGCCAGGAACTGTTTATCACTGGGATCTAGTACCCTCCCAACACACCGAAGGTGGGCTCCCAGACCTAGAAGGTGGAAAAGGGACCTCTGGTGAGTGTACCTTTGTAAATATAATACATGGTTTAAAAGCAAGCGTGTTTAGTGATTAATTTTCCCTGAAGACTTGGGATACATTCGCGGCCAGTACAGCTACTGGAAAAGTCTGTTAACGTGTATGGGGATGGAGCTTAAATCCTCCAGGGACATCTCAATGAAGCTCTCTTGGATGTACTCCCAAAGCCTTTGCAAAAGGTTTCTGGGGAGGGCAGCCTTATTCCGTCCTCCATGGTAGGACACTTTACCACGCCAGGCCAGTAACACGTAGTCTGGAATCATTGCATAACAAAGCATGGCAGCGTATGGTCCCGGTGTTTGCTGGCATTCAAGCAACATCCGTTCTTTATCTCTCTGTGTTATCCTCAGGAGAGTGATATCATTCATGGTCACCTGGTTGAAATAGGGGAATTTTATTAAGGGGACATTCAGAGGTGGCCATTCCTGCTGGGCTGTTTGCCTGTGGCTGAACAGAAATCATCCCCACTGTTAGCTATGCGGTAGGGTGAGGGGTGAAGTGATCATCTTAGAGAATTGGGTGTGTGTGGGGTTTAGTTGGGTTTGTGCTGCACATTAACCCGAAAACCGGAGCCCCTCCTTTTAAATGGCCAACCCATTTTAAATGGGTGCTTGGTATGTGAAATGAGGGCACTGCTGTTTGAAACCATTCCCACATGTTATGAAGGTTAAAGAAGCCAAAAGACTGTGGCTTACCATGGTTGCCTGCAAGCTGAATTCTGTTGCCCGCCGGCCCTGCGTGTGTGATCTCTTACACCAAACCTGCAGGCCCTCAATATAAGAGGCAAAATGTGACCTTGTAAAGAAAGCACACGTGCT